GGGTTTCTTGGACTAAAGTTCGATACATGGGTCAGAGAGATAACACAGTGGTGTCGAGCCTTGCACGAGTCACAATTATGCCCATTTCAAGAAAAATGAAAAAAGAAAAAAATTGTGATGAAAATCACCAAAAATATTGTTGTTGTCATTTCTTTTATTGAATAAATAGACCTACTTATGCCCAACTCGAGTTTTTGAATTTCAGAATCAAAACTTACTTTTCACCCACATTTCTATTCAAAACCCTCGATAATTGTGTTTATTGTTTAATTACGGATTCTTGAGTCTATCTTTCATTTTGGTGTAGAAACAACTCATTGCGTCGGTAGGAAAGTCGAATACCTTAAGCCGTATGCCATTCTAAGATTTTAAGTTATCTATCTCGTTTTATCTTTGGAATTAATTGCAATGCTTTGACCAATCCGGCAACTTTGTGGGTGTGTTGTCTGAAAACCCTCACGAGACACAACTCGTCCTTTGGGGGTACCCAGGGGTTCAAAGGCTTGTTGCATAAGCTAAATGCAATCGTGTTTCCCTACGTTAGTGGCCTAGTTTTAGTTTATTGTTTTTTTTGTTGTTTCGTTTTGATTTACTCAGGACGAGTAAAGATCTAAGTTTGAGTGTGTGATAAGTGTTCGTTTTGCACGATTTTTGCTTATCAAATCTTCGAGTTTCGGTCTTCGTTCGTCCGAGTTTTGGCTTTATTTGTATATATTATTGTGTTTCTTGTTTTATTTCTATTTCAGAGTTTTATGAGGTATTTATGCCGAGTCGAAGCCATTTGAAAGCGAAACCGAATTTTCAAGCCAATTTTGGGGCCAAGAAGACCCAGATCGCGATCTGACATCTCTGGATCGCGATCAGGGGGTTGTCACAGAACGAAAATGAATCAAGACCCATATCGCGATCCAGCATTCCGTATCGCGATCTGGGGGTGCTTACAGTGCTGAAATGGATGAAGACCCAGATCGCGATCCAACAATCCGTATCGCGATCTGGGGGGTCTTACAGTGCTGAAATGTTGAAGACCCAGATCGCGATACGCATTCCTGGATCGCGATCTGGCATGGCGGTGGGCAGTTCCCCGAGGCTGCCAGATCGCGATCCAAACAACCCAGATCGCGATCTGGGCACGCCTTTTGAGAAAGATATTTTGTTTTGCAGAGCTTCTTAAGGAAGCTTTGCATTTCACTATAAATAGAAAGGCCCTTTCATTCTTCATTCTTTCTTCGACTTTTTACGGTTTTCTACAGTTCTTCGCGGGAATCATAAACGGGGGTTCCGACTTGGGTTTTTCTTCCGCAATTTCTTTATGTTTTGTTCTTCATTTCCTTTGTACATTCTTTTGACATTATGTTTGTTATGAACTAAGAACATTTTCTTCTAAGGCAATGAAGCCTTGTATATATTGATTTCGATCGTCATTTCTGTTATCTATTTGTCGTGTTTCGATTTTGTTTATGTTTTCCTGTATTAAATGCTTCTGATTGTTTGATCAGCTCTCGGATTGATATTAAATAGGAATGAACTCGAGAGAGGATTTCTTGTTTGAAGTTAGGAAAACATAGCTCGGGGTGTGGAAACGGAGACGTGATGCACTTCGAGTAGCCCTTAAGGACTTGACCTAAATGCTCTCTTAATAGCAGGTTCTGAACGAAGACGTCGGACCTGTGGGTAGACTCTAACTACACTGGAGACGGGGGTTAGAGTACATTAGCGTCTGGGTTAACGAATAGGAATGTGGCATTAGATAACGGATTTGTAGATCGTTGTTGATTATGCACGGGTTAACCTTGCATGCTTTTAAATTAGGGTTTCTCACCTTTCCAAATATTTACGATCGGCTAGATAATATAACGATAATATAATTACACTACTCAGCATGTGAATCTACAAGGTCCCCGTGGATCGATATCCGGAACCACTGTTCTGCAAAATGCGATACTGTATACTTGCGGTAATTTATACGTGAGGAAAACGCGTATCAAGGATATTGGTTTTAACCCAAGCTATTCTTTCTCCGTATCTCTCTGTTTCAAATATGCTTGAACTCGCAACGAAAAACGCGAGGAGCAGTTCCTTTAATTTTTGCTTACTCCAAATTCTTCAAGATTCGAATGTTCGTATCATGTGCGAAAATAAATTTAATAAATTCAAAGATATGCTGATCATATGTATAATAATTGTATAATTAAGTTTTATGTATAAATATGAAGTACTGCTGCATATGGTTCCATTCCATCTGATGTTGGGCTTGACATTTGTTGTAATCTAATTTCCCGAGCTCAAGGTATCGTTCTTTGTTGATTTCCGGCATCCTATACAATGACTTGCCAATCCATATATCATCTGCACCGTAGTTTTCGATATAGAAACGAGCCTCGAGCCGAGGCAAGCTGGCATACCATGGAATTTCCAAGGCACACTTTATCTGTTTAAAAGAATCATTATATTATGGGTTGATTTCATAATTATCGTAAAGTTGGTGGTTAGAACTTTAATTTACGTAAAATATATATAGTAGTTTTACATCACGTACTTGGGATAATATATATTCCAACAACTTGAGAAAGTAGTCATAAATTCATGAATTAATTTATTATATAGGGTAAATTACACACACCCCCCTGAGGTAAGCTTAAATAACTGTAAGGTCCCTGTGGTATCGATAATTACACTTAGCCCCCTGAAACGTAGTCAGAAACTCTAATGGGATAATGAATTGCATACATTATTCCGATAGGGTTCTAACGGACTATTGGTTTCAGAAAGTGGTGAAGACAACAAAGAGCTATGGGGTGACATGGCTCCCCGAACATTCCCGAACATTTCTTAAATCACCCATAGCTCTTTGTTGTCTCCACCACTTTCTGAAACCAATAGTCCGTTAGAACCCTATCGGAATAACGTATCCAATTCATTATCCCATTAGAGTTTCTGACTACGTTTCAGGGGGCTGAGTGTAATTATCGATACCACAGGGACCTTACAGTTATTTAAGCTTACCTCAGGGGGGTGTGTGTAATTTACCCTATTATATATTACCAATTTGAATATATTAGTATACATACCTATATACATGATCCAAACAATTCTTGATTTCTGGCTCAAAGAATCGCGAAATTCCGAGGCGTTCTAGCCTATCAACAGCCCAAAGTCGTGCGTATATATCCACAGGGTATACCGTCGGAGCTGAGAATTAAAAGAATATTATATATATCATTTTTTTCTAATATATACACACACGCACAATTAATTGAAACAGAACCACATATAAAAAGTTACCTCCTCCATTGAATTTTTTAACGATGTATTGAATAAATTCGATGCAATCTTGATCATTAGTCTCCATAATCGCGTAACAAGTTGCGGCAGGGGAAGTAATAAACGATCCCTTCGGAGTTTGCAGCTTAAGAATCTTCGGCCACTCTAATTTCCCTAGAGATTCCAAATTACCGAGTCCTTCCAAGTTGTGTAATAGGCCCGTCGGTACCTCGTGCAGCAGTTCCTTAGGCACCCTTTGTCCAATAATACATTCATATTAAATTTTCGACATTCACATCTATTAGCGATATAGTATATAATATATATATATATAAGTAAATTTGATCTGCTGTGGTATAAAACTAACCTTTTCATCTTTTGATCTCTTACATCGGAAATGTCTTGAATAACCAGAGCATCAACACGGAATACTGCAGGAAACACAACTTCGAATCCACATGTCATGTGCTCGGGGCTCGCATCTCCAAGCTTACTTATATTCTCTTTAATAAATGATATCCCTAATAAACAAAAACAATATATAAATTCAAGAAAATAGATAGTATTATATATGTATTTAATGCTGTTTAAGGTTGTCTGAAAGTTAGGTTAACTTACTACCTTGATCACTCTTGTCACCATGAACATTCTAGTATCTCAATGCAACTACACATGCTAGTGTATTAATAAGCAACCGATCGTCGGAGAGTTGATTATTTGAAATCCATTCAATACTTCACGGAAATTGAGGAATATTCCGTCCTTGAAAATCTCGTATAAATTACAAAAATCTCCCTCATGTTTGGGTAATTACGACTGAAAGAATTTATGGTCCTGAATTCATTTAATACAGACATGTTATATTAAGTGTTATGACACTTGTATAAACATGCAGCGGAAATATAAAAGCAATACTCTGATGTTAAAAATGTTCACAAGTAAAACTTGTGAACTTGCCCTTTAAATGACGTAAAAATTATATTAAAACAGTATTACAAGAATACAAAGAGAAGAAGTACAAAAACTTCTTCCTTATGAATGAATCACTAGCTTGATCATTCTCACAATCAAATCTAGAAACAAAAAGATAAATATTAAAAATTCTAGATTTCAAAGAATGTACTCGTGAGGAGTACGTACAACAGATTCTAGATACACACTAAAACTCTCATGAATAATTTGCAGCTCTCGGTTTTTGTTTCTTCGAATCCTTAAACTTTCTTGAGTCTTGAGTTTGGTATTTATAGACATTCCAAGCTTCCACTTCTCAGCCCATGATCTGCAAGAAAACCAACTACAAGAACACTCAAGAACATGGGTTAGTGGGTGAGTTTAGTAGTTAAAATAATATCCACAATTTAACCCACTAAGCACTACTTAGCCCACTAAGTATTATACTTAGCCCACTGAGTCATAACTAAAATTTAGTTTGAAAGTAAGAGAGTTAAAAACACTCTGTGGAAATCCACGTGTTTCAAACTCCACATTTTTAACTTTCTGATCAAAACTAAATTTTAGTTTAACTCCCCCTGAGACATTGTTTGAACTCCCCCTGAATTTGATAACAACCATAGCAAAAAAATATTGAAAGATCAATTCAAAAACAAATTCAGCAAAGATAGTCCAACACAATTCACAAAAAAAAAAAAAAAAAATCAACAAAAGTGCAATCCTAAAAAGTTCAGAGGGAAAAAATAAAAACAGAACAAAAATAAATATTGTTTATAAAAAAACAATTAAAGTAGAATATCCAAGGTCTCCTCAGTATCAGCTACTATTCCTCCATCACTAGCACTGGACCCACTGCTTTCCTCTGCTCGTTCAGCTTCACCCTCATTCTTTTCTTCTTCTTCATTAACTCCATGCTCTCTGCCTCTTGCATCCAAAGGATGAGAAGTCCCTGCTTCAACTTCATGACTAGCTTGTTCTCCCCCTTTTTTATCATAAAGAGCTTTTTGGAGCATTTCCACCATGGACTGGTGATAAGTGATCTGAGCTAAGGAGTCAGTAAGCTGTTGTAACAAAAGATCTCGAGGAACAGAAACAAGGATGTCAGGGGTGTTGTCAGCATGAGGAGCAACACCTTCAGTACCAAGATTCCAAGATTATTTTGACCTGATTCAGTTGGGAGAAAATTATCTCCATTCCACGGAAGATCTTGGACATGAGGAGCTTTGAGAAAATTTTGAGAAACAGTTATCATGCCAAGTGGAGTGTGAAGATATTCTGATTCATCTTGGCCCAAATTTTGAGAAAGTAGAATGGAGCAGATGAGAGAAGGATAGGGAAGATGAGTGGAGAAAGAAATTTTCTGGACAAGATGACCTATATTGTTGAAGAAAAGTTTGCCAAAATCAACAGGTAACCCCATCCCCAATTTGTACATGAGTACTGCATGAGGTTTAATAATCACAGAGACATTTTTTGATGGAATCCAATTCATCACTGTGAGTCTGAACATGACAGAGTAAAATGCAGTAAGTTAAGAAATTTTGAATTTTCTGAGGTGAGCAGGTCAAGTGTTTAGACGATTGTCAGAAAGAGTCTGACAAACCTCAGTAAAATCACCATAATTATCCTCATCAATCATAGTAGGAGTTTGTAAGTGAGAGTTGATAATTTTGGGAGAAAATGAGAAAATAGAATTTCGCACAAAAAAATTTCCAATGTTTGGAGAATTTTTCTTTAAAAATGAGGTTTGTAAATTGGCATAAAATTCCTTCACAACAGAGGGATCATAAGGACAGGCAACCTCAACTAGACTAAGGATTTTTCTTTGATCAAGAAAAGCAGTGATTATATGCCTATCAAACTCATCCTTGGAAATTTTCTTTTCCTCAATGAATTGGAAATTCATGATTTGAGGACTCATGTTTGAATCAGATTCAAAATAAAAGGTAGGACTGAAGGCATTGTTTACCTCAAAAGGAGTTGACAGATCCTTCCCATCCAAGTCAAGCTCTTCTTCCTTTGAGGGTTCCTCTTCTTCTGAGTCTTCAAGTTCATCTGGGATGTATGCTGGCTCAGGTGATGCAACAGGTAGAGCAGCATCTTGTTCCATCTGAGATGAGTCCTCAGAAGAGTCACTGTCTGACTCTGAGGATGGCAATTTTTTGCGGAAGGAGGCAAGGAGCACTTCCCAGCTGTCATCACTTTTCTCTTCTTCTTCATCCTGGGAAGGTGGTGCATCCACTTGAACAGCTGCCTCTGCCAGAGTTTACGGCATATATCTTTAATAAATGATATACCTAATAAACAAAAACAATATATAAATTCAAGAAAATAGATAGTATTATATATGTATTTAATGTTGTTTAAGGTTGTCTGAAAGTTAGGTTAACTTCCTACCTTGATCACTCTTGTCACCATGAACATTCCAGTATCTCAATGCAACTACACATGCTAGTGTATTAATAAGCAACCGATCGTCGGAGAGTTGATTATTTGAAATCCATTCGATACTTGACGGAAATTGAGGAATATTCCGTCCTTGAAAATCTCGTATAAATTACAAAAATCTCCCTCCTGTTTGGGTAATTACGACTATCCATGATCAACTATAAATTTTCTTACACGTCCACCCTTGCGATTTCAAATTTAGTGGAATATTCTAGATTATATGGAATACTCTCAATTTTTGACCCGTTTTATTGTTGGCCGAAAACCTACACGCAAGTGCACGTATCGTACAAGTAATATAGTGGACAATTAAGTCCGGATATCGAACCCACAGGGAATATTTAATTATCTAATCCTAGACGCTAAATTCTACCAATTATTATCAAGCCCACCCTACACAGTCGACTTTAGAGAGAATTAACTAAAATAAATTAAAAAGCAAATTAAAACGACAAAGCAAGAAAGCAAATTAAACACGAAGATTTATCAGAGTAAACGAGCCTAGGATTTTATTCTTCCCCCTATGTGATTATTACTCCCCCAATTCCTTCAATTATGCAAGCAATTAACCCGGATTATTAACCTGAGATGCTAAAATAATCATAACCCGCTTCCGCGTGTATTACGATTCTAATACTCTAGATTCAATTACTATATTCCTATGCAATTAATTCTAGAACACAGCATAAAGCACAAATCTCAATAATGGCTACCTAAGAGATTAACTATATTCCTATGTTAATAACACAAAAGCTCTTCTACCACAGTTCTAATTATTAACCCGATCTTCCGATTCATGCGATTAACAATAACATAAAAGCGCATAAAGTGGCCAGTTTCATGAACTTAATAAAACAAGTAGAAGAAATAATCCGGAATTTAAACTTGCATAAAATCATAGAATTGGGTTCATAAATCCCACATAGGGTTCCAAATAAAATCCTAGAAATAAGAAAATTAGCTACTCATGATTAAAGGAAAAACACGAATAAAATAAGTCATAAACGATAAATCTATGCTTAGAGTCTTCGAATTCTTCGTCTTCGTTATTGCTTTGTTGCTCTCCAAATTGCGTAAAAAAAAATCCCCAATTGTGTGCTTGGGTTGGTCTTATATAGGGTGAAGAACTTGGGGAAGAAGCCAGTTTCCTTGTGCAATTAAAATCCCTTTACTGTGCAACTTCGGAATCTCGGACGGGGGTCCCACAATTTGCACTAAAACTGGGACGGGGGTCCGAGCTTTAAATCTTCAGAATTTTGATATTTTCACTTTTGACCCATATTTTCGCCAAAATTGCAGTTTTGACCCCATACTTTTCCAATTCTTCAATTAGTACCTAAAATACAATAAATAAACTTTTTAAGCACCAATTATCGTTAAAACACACCAAAAGCTCAAATAAAAAGGTACGATAAAGTGTAAAAATATACACTTAACACACCCCCAAACTTGAACTTTTGCTTGTCCTCAAGCAAAATCTACCAATAAGCAAATAACTCAACGATAACATCTCATCACATAGATCAATGATCAACTTCACGTTTTCAGAACTTGTAATTATAATGACAATTCTTAGACATTCGCAAGCTCAAAATTCAACAACACTTAGTCACTCACCATTACCAAAAACCACAATTCATACAATTGCTTCAAGCATCCAATATTTGCAAATTAAAGATAGAAAGAATTTATACTTACATGCATATGCTTGACTCCAAATACTCACAAAATTATTCTACTCTACTAATATCGAACATTAAGCTATTGGGATCATTGGGGCTTTGTGGCTTTCAATTGATAGGCTCTTTGGTTCGAGGTAGGAAATATGTGTATATGTGGCTATTCTTCTTGAATTTAGGTGATTACGCCAAAATTTGAAAGATAGGCGTTTGAATTGGTTGATGTGTTTTCTATGTATTTATATTTTTTTGGTATGTCCATACAATAGTTGTTATCCAATAGTTGTTATGCTGCCCAATTTTTTGTTTAATTTATGAATTTATGGTCATTTATTTGTATTTTCAGGAAGACTGGAAAGAGTATACGAAGAGTGTATTAATGATGGAAAATATCAAAGCACGGCCGATCAATAGCTTGTGAAAGAGCACAATATTTTTTTTTCTAAGTGTTTATGTAATTCAAGATTCATATATGTACTGTTGACTTGGTATTTAATTTTATGTAGACTTTAATTTTAAAACTGCCATGTAATTTGATTTAGTAGTTCAATTGTTTTAGTGAAATTAATAATTATTTACAGGTAATTTATTGTATAAAATTATCTATATATATATATATAACTGTACAGTAACATTTGCGACGAATATAATAATTTGTGTCGCAAAGAAAATTCGCCGATGCACTATATTTCATCGCAAATCTTGTTTTGGTAGAATTAAATTTTGCGACGAATAGTACAAATTCGTCGCAACTATTGGCGACGAACAGAGAAATATAGTCGCAAATATTTGCGACGATATACCTATTTCGTCGCTAATATAATATTATTTTATTTTGTTGAAAATTTTACGTTGCGACGAAAACATAAAAACGTCTCAAAAAACGGGGACGATAGTGTAGACATAAACGTCGCAAACAAAAAAATCTAATTTATTAGATAAAATCGACTTCTGGCGACGAAAATGGAATTCGTCGCCCGTCGGGCGACGAAATGTTGATTTCGTCGCAGTCTTTGCGACGGGAACATTGGCGTCGAATTTGGACCCCCATTGCGACGAAATGGTAATCGTCGCAATCGTCCTAATTTCGTCGCAAGAGTCCTATTTTCGTCACAATTTTTCGTCGCCTGTGGCCGGTTTTCTACTAGTGAGCTTCCACTCCTCAACCCATGATCTGCAAGAAAACTAACTACAAGAACACTCAAGAACATGGGTTAGTGGGTGAGTTTAGTAGTTAAAATAATATCCACAATTTAACCCACTAAGCACGACTTAGCCCACTAAGTATTATACTTAGCCCTCTGAGTCATAACTAAAATTTAGTTTGAAAGTAAGAGAGTTAAAAACACTTTGTGGAAATCCACGTGTTTCAACAACTATCCATCAACTATAAATTTTCTTACACGTCCACCCTTGCGATTTCAAATTTAGTGGAATATTCTAGATTATATGGAATACTCTCAATTTTGGACCCGTTTTATCCCATTTGAGGTTCACATTTTGAAATTAGATGATCATAAGACGTGTTTTTTGGATTGTATATATCAGATTGTAGTGCATAATATCAGAAACTGTATTTTTGCACAAAACGAGTACAAACTAGAGAACGTACATTCCACGGAGTCTAGATGATTATGTTGAATTTGACACCGTAAAAATGGAGATGTAAAAGAATTTATAGTTGAGGGATAGATGTAATTATCCAAACACGAGGGGTTTTTTCGTAATTTGACCATAACTCGAGGGCAATTATAATTTAACTTATTATAAATTGATTTTCAATTCAACATTTTTGGCGAACTAGCTACTGTTGAATATTAAACTAAAAACACGACAAACTTTGTGACCTGGAGCACTGGGAATCAATGTTGCATATATTGATTGTTTATCGAGATATGTGTCATACATTTTGAAACATGATATATTATGTCTCATACAAGATTCGTGATCTGAAATATTAATATTCAATAGGATTTTGAAAATATAATATTGATATAGTAATTGTTATTTAATTAATGATGGATTAGTTAAAACTATATTTATATAATAATCAAATTAAATCCGATTTAATAATTTTGAGATCCACTAGCCAATAACAATATAATGGCGGACCCGTGATCTCCTTTTTCCATGCACATGCAAACAGACTTTTCACGATCAAGTTTGTTAGGGTTGCACCAAATGCCTTTACGTAACAGACTGTTACATTTTCCAAATATATTATATAGAATAGTATTAATTAATGTTGAAATCAATTATGTGAAGAAAAAGACACACACACACACTAAACAATTGCTAAAATCACGAGGCAATTATAATATAATAGGTAATCTGTAAGAAAATAAACATTGGCAGACGACCAATTTGAAACGCAACGAATATATTGTAACAATTTCCAACTGTCACCTTTTGACGTACTATACTTGTCGGCAGTTACTTAGATGCTACATATGATTATTTACGCTGGGAATTTCTCTTTCTATCTTTCTTTTTTTCTCTCTCTCACTCTCTCTCAGTGTATATATATATATATATATATATATATATATATAGACACACACACTTAATTCCCAACTAGAACCATATATACACCAGTTATAACTTTTAAACTCTAATACAGAAAAATAAGAAAAAAATGCAAAGTCTCTCAGCAGGTTCACAGCTCAATTTGTTTAATGCATTTGGAAGATGCAGATTGGTCTCATCTACAACGCTTCGATATCTATCCTCCGAACGACGCACCAGTAAGTTTTCGCTATAACTTAACCGATTAATAGTATGTTTCATCATATGTATATATATATATATATATATATATATATATATATATATATATATATATATATATATATATATATATATATTATAGAAAGTTATATCGGAGTTTTAATTGGTCTAATGAAAGTTATATCTCTGATTATTACATGAGAAATTGAAACACGATAACTTCGAGTAAATCTCTAAGTAGACCAACATAGAGAACTAAAATTACAATTTTCCCTTTTTCTACTCGATCGGCGATTTTAATTATAAGATATTTATAGGACACGTAATCTTTTTATTTGCAAAATAAAGGGATATATTAATTATTTGATCTCATTGACAAATGACAATATTTATACAAATTTCATAGTGATGTGGAAGATGGGAAGTAAAGTGGATGCAACCAATATGGAGTCGCTGTTCCTTGCTCGTCGAAGAAATATACCGAACGACGCCAGAAAAGGTATCGAAACGTAATCTAAGAATGATGTAATTAAACACTAGAGAAATATTTTAATATGGGAGAAACTAATT